TCCGGTTCCAGTTGGTTTGCATAAAGGCTCTTCACTATTCTCTACCTATTTATTCTTGTTATGGATGTACTGACAGAGAAGGTTATCAAGGAGATTATCAAGTCGAAAACTAAGGAGTGTGATTAAGATAACCAGTAATGATTGGAGAAATTTTAACCCTTTAAAAAAGAAATTTGGTTTCTTCTTAATGATGATATTTTCTACCTAAACAGATTATATAGGTACAAATATAGTTGGCTTAATAAAATTACAAGAAAATTTCAAATGTTTTAAAATTCTACGTGACTGGATTATAACATTTCGATAAGGCTGTATCATAAAAATTATGTCCTCAATAGTTTTAGAACGGTGTATTTTCATAATCTTCTTGTGTTGTTAATTACTTTTTTACCGTTTTTAACGTTATGTCTCCTGCTTCATTTTGTTTTTTTTTTCTTATTTCATCTTTTTATAATATAACTAATTTTATAATAGTTGAAATCAATGAAACCATAACAACAGAACTATTAAATGCAAGCTCAGAAGTGGCAACCGCTAAGAGAAAGCGAAAATCCAAAATACGTGTAGAATCACAAAACATGCTAAAAGAAAGAAAATATCTTCTGAGACAAAACAAAAGAGACACTGCAAAATTTAAGGAACTTAATCGAGTTATAAGAAAACAGATAAAAGAGTATATTAAAAGACATTAAGAAGACCGTATAGATCAAATCATAGAGAAAATACCACTCCAGAAACGATCCTCCTAACACCTCAAAGCAGAACTTGAACAGGCAGATAACAAATGTCAACTTAGAAGTGTTGCCCAAAATAAGCCACGAAGAAATAGAAAGAGCAGTAAAAGAAATAAAAGGAATAAAGCTCTTGGAAGCGATGGCATCCTAGCAGAAATGCTGAAGGAAGGCGGAGAAGAATAGCAAGGCAACATGCCCGAAGAATGAAATACTGCTAAAACAATACTAATACACAAAAAAGGAGACACCACAGACCTGAAACATTATCGACCAATTAGAGCGGGGATATTAAAAGAACTGTAGGGCCAATGTGGAAACGTCTTACAAACAACAGAGATGCATGGCGAGAATTAGGAGAGGCCTATATTCGGCAATCCGAATAGAGAAAACGGCTTAAAAATAATAAACTTTGATGGTACACAAGGCAAATATCGAACACAGTAGTTAATCAAATCTTGCCCAAGTACTTTCGATCACAAGATCATCCTCACGGGCATTTCGTCAGTTGTGGCCTATCCAGCAGTAATAGAATGTTATAAATGTAAATTGGGACATAACAAATACACTATACAAAGACAAACAAACACTTTAAAATTTAAGAAATTCATTCTGTCTCCGGCTTCTATATAAAATGTAGCTTCTCCATTTCTTAAATTTTAAAGTGTTTGTTTGTCTTTGTATAGTGTATTTGTTATGTCCCAATTTACATTTATAACATTCTATTACTGCTGGATAGGCCACAACTGACGAAATGCCCCTGAGGATGATCTTGTGATCGAAAGTACTTGGGCAAGATTTGATTAACTACTGTGTTCGATATTTGCCTTGTGTACCATCAAAGTTCATTTATTCGAACATTAAACCTTATATTGATTTAAAAATAATAGTTGAAATAATTTTTTGTAGTTTTGGTATGATAATTTTATTTGAAATTCTCTAACTTTTTCAAACTCTAATTACTGAACTGTCGGCTAAATTTAATTTTTTATATTATGCGACATATATTTTTACCATTAAAAAAGGTTATATTTCTGCCATTTTCTTACCATTGATTTAAGTTTAAATTGTTCGTGGCTCTATGATACTTAAAAAATATTCTAAATCTCACTATACGATATTGCATGTTTTTGGAACTTTTTATTCAAATTTTGAAAACTTAAATTATGTTTTATTCAATCTCCTCGTATAAATCCCTATCTCAACTCAAACGGTATTAAAAATATTTGATATGATTATCTACCAACAAATAAAAAACTTACATCTTTCTTGATTCTTTCTCGCATAAAGAAAAAAATATAATCCCTAAAATCCATTTCCGAGTACTACAATACATCCAAAACCGGTAAACAAGTTAACAAAAAAACCGTATTATATCCCATGTGGTACAGGGCTCGTGCCGAATGCTGCAAAAACGTTCACAAAAAATACGTTAGAAATTCCTATTTGACACCCCAAAAAGTACATAACGGAAAAAATTGTCTAACAAAACAAAATTAAAGCCCTTGTCCCTTTTTTGACCCTTGGTCACCATTCTTTAGAATGTGACCGAATTACACATCGATGACGCTATGAAAGAACATTCTTTCACCTTATTTTTTCGAATTCAAATAGACCCATTGAAAAATCTGACCAAACATCTACTGAGACGTTAAAGTCGTGGGTATACTTTAGTGAACTGCAGATTATTAGTTACCTGGTCGATTGGAATTAAATAGGGGACCCCGATATACCATACGGAAATTTCTGTTCTACCTGTGCAACCCTACGTTCGGATCGCTGTAATGTAATCGTGGTATGCAGTCGAACAAGAAGATTTGCATAGCTTCGTGAGAAAAAAGCAGGCTGCTTATAGCTGTCAACTGTTTAATATTCAAATCTAGCATGCTAGATCGTTACGGCACTGTTATATCGGAGCTCAAAAGTAATCAGTCATGAAACAGTGAATTTTTCCAAGATTGGAGATTAAAATAAAAAACCGATTAGAGGGTTGAAAAAGGTGTCATTTTTTCGAAGCGTAATTTGTCACATTAGTTTTGTGATACGAGAAAATAATTTGACGGTGACATTTTTTCTTCCTTAACGATGTTGTCACTTTTGTTGCCACTTTGTGTCGGACTGATTTAAATGAAAAATTGATGAGTACGTCTTTAGTATGTGAGAATTTTGTTCTCCAATTGTCGTCCTTTTATTAATATATAAAAAAAACTATTGCCGATCGATTGTAAAGAATAACACAGTATTACTCCATATATGTCAGTATTAAGAATTTCAAAGAAATTATAAAATATAAAAATATATTGTAATACACTGCGCTCCAAAATTAACGCATAATTTTAAAATTCTTATTTTGAGTTGTAATGAAAAAATTTTTGTGTGTTCTTTTCTGCTTTATGGTTGTTTTACAACAGCTTAAATAAAAAACTTCTCTTTTTTACAAAAAATGTCAGGAAATTAACAATATAACATCATAAATCTAAACATCAAAACAAACAACTGATCTAAACAAACTAATATTATAAATTAATGACGAAATTGAAATTTTTTAAGTTGAAGAAAATACTAGTACCGTGTACTAGTATCGAGTATTGCCTTCTCTAACATTTATTACTGCTTGACAACGATCTCTCATACAGAGAATAATAGTTCTTGATCAATTTGATCCCAAATTTCAACCAACCGCAAAAATAGTTCATCTAATGTGTTTGGTGCATTAGGTAGTTGTCGTAGTCGTCTGCCTATGATGTCCCAAACATGTTTTATTGGGTTGAGGTCAGGAGTTCTCGCAGGCCAATCTATGGCAGGAATTCCAACCTTCTGACGATACTACTGCACAATTCTTGCCGTGTGTGGCCTGGCATTATCTTGCATAAGCATGAACGTATCCCCAATAAATGGTGCAAATGGCACGACATGCTCTTTTTCTTTATTCTAACTAATTCCGTACGAGCCTCTAAATTAATACCACACCACACCATTACCAAGCTGCCGCCATACTGTACGGTCCCTACGGTGTCCCTTTAATTGCAGACCAAATATTTGACTTTCGTTTTCTATCAGTCGTATAAGTTCCATCAGCTCCGCTTGACTATTTGCAAGAAGGGCTGTGTCATCTGCGAAACGAAGGTTGTTTAGTTTATGACCATTTATTGAGATGCCCTTTTCCCATCCTTCAAGTGCTCTTCGCATAATATACTCCCCATATATGTTGAATAATTGTGGAGATAGTATACATCCTTGTCTGACACCCCGTTCTGGACGAAACTCGTTCGAAAGTGTGTCAAGTACTTTAACTGATCCAGTAGTTTGTTCATATAGTTCGGTTATAAGCGTAATTAGATGTTGTGGTACGCCTACTTCTTTTAGTATTCGCCATAAGTGTCTCCACTTGACCCTGTCGAACGCTTTACGGTAATCTATAAAACAGATGTATAGTGGGATGTTGAATTCCCTAGATTTCTCTATTATCTGTCTTATATTCAGCAGGTGTTCTCGAGTGCCTCTACCTTTGGTAAATCCAGTTTGCTCTTGTGGAATTTCTCTTTGAAGGAATGTTTTCAGTCTTTCATTGATTATATTTAGCATTATCTTGCTGGCATGGGATATAAGAGAGATAGTTCTATAATTGTCGCATTTATGGAAGCTGCCTTTTTTATGTATGGTCGTTATTATAGATTTTGTCCAGTCTTCAGGTCATTGTTTGGAATTGTTAGTATATAAATGATACCAAAAGATAGACAACAAAACATGGAACAATTCCAGGCCTAAACGTGTCTCGAAGAAAAATCTGGAAGAAAAAACTATTTTGTAGGCCATTCTTTAAGTTTGCGTGTATTACGCAAGAATGCATTTACCCTACAAAATCCATTGGTTGCAACAATTAAATAAAGATGACTAAGACCATAGATTACAGTTTACATTGAGGTAATGATGAATTAAATTGTGACTCACGAAAACTTCATTAACAAAATATGTTTCTTCGTCGAAGCAATATTTACAATGTGTGGGAATGTAAATCGCCAACATTTAAGGTATTGGATTGGGGTAAATTAACAATAGATAAGTGAAAACAATATTCAAGGACCACACAACTAAATGTATGCTCGGATATAGTGGTATAGTGGATAATCAGTTAATTGGCCCGTTTTTTATAGAAGGACATTTAACAAGCAGTAATTATAAAAATAAAATGCTACTTAGCAATGAAATTTTACCTACCCTGCAAAAAAAGTTTGGAGCCAATTTTAATGAGGTATATTATGATTAGATATGTTAAATGAATTGGACTTTGCATGTTCGAAGGTAGGCCTAAGAATGAACTTGTCCAAAACTAAGTTTATGACAAATATAGTCCCCAATAACCATTTTACTATTCAAAACAAAGTGGTAGAACTGGTGGAGAAATATATGTATTTGGGTCAGAAAATAAGAATCAGCAGTGACAACCATACATGCGAAATCCAAAGACGAATTACTTTAGCGTGGGCAGCCTTTGGAAAACTGCGAGACACACTTAGGACCAATATACCAATTAGCCTAATTAGCCAACTATACCAATTAGACAAAAGAGAAGTATTTGACCAATACGTATTAGCCGGTCATGACCTATGGGGAAACTGTGACTCTAACCAAGCAAGATTACGGCTTCGAAATTGAGAGTGGCTCAGAGACGAATGGAATGATCTATGATGGAAGTGATGCTGCGGGACCGAATAAGGAACGAAGATCTGCTAAGAAGAACGAGTATTGCTGATGTTGCGGAACGAATAGAGGAACTTAAATGGAATTGGGCAGGCCATGTAGCGAGAATGCATGACTAACGATGGACGAGTAAAATTACACATTGGAGGCCAAGAGCAGACAAACGTAGTAGAGGAAGATCATCTACACGTTGGGCTGACGACATCAGGCGTATCACTAAAAATTGACAACAAGGAGCAAAATCTTAATAAATGGAGGAGTTTAAGGGAGGCCTGTATCCAGCAGTGGACGTGATAAATAAAGGCTGAATGATGATGATGATGATGATGATGATGATGATGATGATGATGATGATATTATGATTACAGTACGCCGCACCGGAGCTTTAGTTTAATTTGCTCTAAATGTTCGGCGTTATTTAGATTAGAAAGTTCCTAGACGATGGATTGGTGTATTAGGTAATACTGAATGGCCTCCTCGTTCACCCGATTTAAATCCTAAAGATTATTTTTATTAGGGATATTTGAAAATTAGATTGATAAAACTAAACCATTAAGTGTGGCAGAGCTAAGGTAAAGAATTATCGATGAATCCATATTAATTTCTAGAGAAACGTAGAGAAGTGTAATATACGAATTTTACCATCGTTTAGGATACTCTCAAATTAACGACGAGGACATTTTGAACACTTATGACTGACCTTGATTAGGTAGACATTAATTTAATAATGAAGTAAACTTTAAATTATGTTCAAATTTTATTCTAGGATTTTGTTTTATCCTTTTAAGATATTGCTGACTACATAAAATGGAAAGTATTGTCTATGGTTGAACTGGTATTAAAGTGAATACTTCATATAAAGGTAAAATACAGGGTGTTGCACTTAAATGTTATACTTAAGTGACCAATCATATCAGAATAATGATAAATCTGACATCAAATTTCAAAGGTTCATATTGCAAAATAGGTGTATCCACAGTTTGTATAATTCAGACCATCCCTTTAGGATATATAATTTATAGGTAAAGAAAACATAAATAACTATAGATATCAGTTAAGTTCAAAATATGCGTCAAATCTCTCTCTTCATTCCTGAGCCTTAGCCTCCGGGTAGTGCTCATCGTATTGTCTGTAGTGTCCGTCTCTTAAGATCTGTCTCTCGATATTTTTTTTAACTCGTGCATAGGTCTTTTGGATATCTTTGTAATTTGGTAGATCCAGCTTGTGATCTTCCTCGTGACCATCGGCCTTCTACCTTTCCTTGGATAATAACTCTTAGTTATTATCCAAGAAACAATTAGTTATTGATAATAATAATAACGTGTTGTTGATAATAACTAATAAGTTATTATCACCAACACACATCCAATAACTACACTAACTATACCAACAATTATAAATACACACATCCATATTATCAAAAACAATTTTGCCAACGCTGAAATGTCATTAGAATTTGTAGTATTTCCGTCTCAGTGGCGTACGATTGTCTAACATAATATTAATTAAAATTATTATTTTGTTATTACGTATAAAATAATTCTAAAATTCCCAGTATAATCATGATTACATTTTTCTGATTATTATACCATGTTGACGCCTATGAAACATCGAGCAGTTCCGTATGGGTGTCGTATTAGTAGCTGTGTTAGGAAAATTGAACTCTAAGGTTGATGTTGCAGAAATTTTACAAACAAGTGTGTCACTTTATATAAATTGTGACGTGCAACGAAGATTTATTCCAAAGAATATGAGCGAATATGTCAAGAATGAACATGTTCAACATCAAAATGATAAGCGTATGAAAAATTGTTGAGTTGTAAGTTACTGGAGGCAATACGGGAGGATAAGCAAATACGACTTGATGAGGGACGGTTTGGCATGATATATTTGGGGAATGATAACATGTTATATATAAAAGGATTGATATTTGTGCAACTGCATATCAATGCAGTAAAAGTCAAGGTATGTGTTTAATGTAGGCCATCAATTAGCGAGTATGTATATTTACGAGTATCCTTCAACTTTACTAGTAAACAATATATTGCTTGCATGAACTTCTTTGCCTAGAAGAATAAAACCGAGAATCATCAAAATAACGAAAAATCTATAAGTATGAATTACAAAACCAGATCGCAATAAAAACATAAGAAAACAATGCAAACCAAAATCGCTACAAATAACTATAGGATGATGAATGGCACCCTCTATAACACATAGCAGTAGCAGTCCTAGATGTAAGTAAAGCTTTCGACAAAGTTTCGACATGAAGGACCGATATATTCAAAATGACAGTATAATCATACAGCGGATACATGACGAGATTGATTTCCTCGTACCTAGTTTGTCGGAAATTTAGGATTTTGGTGGAACAAGTCTTACTAAAGCATGAAACTCTGGAGGTGGTAATACCAACACGATGTTGTTATCTGTACTGTATAATAACATATATCTATCTATCTATATAGCCCTAAACATCCATCCTTGGATATAGGCCTCCTCCCCCTTTTTCCCTGCCTCTCTATCTTGAGCAATTTGCCCAATAATAACCAGTGGGTGTTACTTTTCTTCTTACAGTGTTCCTTTAAAAAAATTATAAAATTCTTTAAAAAAAACTGCCTCAGTCACCAAAAAGATTTTAAAAACTCTAACAAAAATATAAAAAATAATATTAAAGAAAATAAAAAAAATAAAGGGGGCCCACTCACATCGACCGCTAAATCACTACACCGGGAATAGACGACCCGATAAATCGACGGCAACTGGACTATAGCAAATCAAACTGTCCTGTTTCTTTAAGCCAAGAAGACAGCGTCATGTACATAAAAGTCTTATTTCTCAGGACTTTCACATAAAACGCAATTAAGATGATAATAGTCCCCCACGGTATAAACTTACGTGTGGGGGAGGTGGTGAAGTGTCTAGAGAGACTTGGATCTGGGAGGATTTGTCTCTAGCTTGTCCAGGTGTAAATCCTCCCTACCTCAAAAGTGGATGTCTTATTGTTATTTACTGGTATGCATGCCTTTTCAGGCTGAGATTACTACTGCTTTTCTGTTTTTAGAATTCTATGGTGATAAAAGACTTTATATAAAAAGTCGTGACAAACAAACTTAACATTTTAAGCGTCTGAAAAAACAGCGCAATATTTGTATGTATATTATATAACAAGTTTTAATTTTTACTATATTTCTTTTGTTATTCCTTAGTTCGTTTTTTACTTCAGGACGACTCTTTTTGTTCTTTTACCTATCTAAATAATAAACAATGGTATACACCAAGCAGATGAAAATATGTATTTGCCAAAATAATATTTACAATTGAACATTGGTATACGTGAATCGAACAACATGTATCTACTCAAAAACATGCAGTAGGATTGATCGGAAAATAAAACATTTTGTTGACTTATTATGCTCAAAGCCATGACGGTTTGCTTTCAGTCTATTTTTCTGCCGTTTCAGAAGTGAATGGTTTTGAGATATACGCATTGTTAAACATATGGTACCCATTGGTTATTTTTATGTAGTTTTTTAATATTAGTTTCCGTATCAAAATATTTACTTATTGTACGAATGACATAACTGAAAATCGTCATTTATAGTTTTAAATTTGAACTTTTTATGAAATTTGCGATTACGATGAAAATTTATGTTCAATTTACCTATTAAAGTATATTTGAAAATAATTGATAGTACAAATTTCGTAGCAAAGGACTCGATACAGGTATGGTCAATGCTCAGTGACGGAGAACTAATATAAAAAAACTTAAATGTCCATATTACGTGCCCACATTAATTTTTATAAAAACCTAAATATTCGTTTAGGACATTTTCTTACAATTTAAAAATAAATATATTTCGGGTACTAGCGTCATATTACCTTATAATAGTAATAGTAGTAATAGTAGTGTATAGAAGTAATACAAATAAATAATTATATACCTAAATATGTACATAAGTTGTCTTCTTCCGATAAGGATGCATCATCATCATCATCATCATCATCATCAGTTTCATTTCCCACAGAAATAATAATTGGTCCTATTGTTTCCTCTATCATATCGAGTTTTCAGAATATTTTTTCCTCTATTATGATACGTCTTATAGCTGTTTGCCAATTGTCAGATAAAATTTACGATATGGAGTCAGATAATAGTTGACGAATATCTTGAAGTTTTAATGTTGTATTATTGCTCGCGACATATCCGTTCATTTCAGTCCAGATTAATTCTATGGGGTTAAGTTCACAGTGATAAGATGGTAATCGCACCTATTTTTTGAAAAAATCTTCTGCTGGCACTAGTATTTCTTCAGTTATTAGCTAATACAAGAATTCTTACCTTCTCCATTTAGTGTTAGGTAACGGTTCCTTTAATCTTGAATGATAACTATAATTGCCCATGAATGTTATAGAATTGGTAGGCAATCCATTTATCATTTGATTATAGTATTCGTCAAAAACATCAGCTGTCGCATCTTCATGGTAGTCGTTTGTAGAATTTGAATCTAGCAAGGCTCCATCAACAAATCCTTTCTCACCTTCAATATGAGTGATACTTAAACGGCGATCTTTCTTCTTCTTCATATGCCTTGTCCGTTCCGAACGTTGGCAATCAACATGGCTATTCTGACTTTATTTGCGGCAGATCTGAATAGTTCTGCAGATGACAATCCGAACCATTGCCGCAAGTTTTGGAGCCACGAGCGTCTGCTCCTCCCTGGACCCCTTCTGCTGTCTATTTTCCCTTGAACGATCGGCTGTAGTACTCTATATTTATTATGTCTCATAACGTGAGCCAAGTATTCCAACCCAACTTTCTTTTCTTTATATTTATTCCTACCTCTCTCTCTTTACCTATCCGGCGTAGTACCTCTTCGTTGGTCACGTGCTCAGTCCAGGATATACATAATATACGTCGGTAAGCCCACATTTCGAAGGCCTCTACTTTTTTCATCAATGTTGCGGTCATTGTCCACGCCTCTATTCCATATAATAAAACCGGTAATACATAACATTTTAGAAGTCGAATTTTGAGAGGTAGGGTGAGGCTTTTAGAGGTCTTTACCATTTGGAAATTTTAAGCCCGTAGATAAACCTTCTTTAAAGGCCTAACGAGCATTTGTAACCAGTTCTAATTCGTTTTCCACAATTTATCTCTTTTAATATTTGGCAAAGATTCGTTTTCATTAATGTCTATTAAAAGTTTATCCAAAGTAGAAATCTTTTTTTGTAAATAAAATGAATGAATTTTTCTTCGAATCGATTGGTTCACACTATCGTATATATGAATG